TAATATGTTTTAAAAATTCAAGGAAAATAGTCAATAATTATATTTTTATCAATATAGGTCACATTTACACTGTTTGTACTTATATTTTCTTATGACCTCACTCCAAAATAAAACAGGAAAATAAAATCTAACTCAATTTTGAATTTGTATAGCTAAATAAATTTGTTTAGCTAAACATTATCACATAAATATAACAAAAAAGTAAAATGCATTTTTAAAAATACAGTTTTTCCAATCTCTCTTTTGATGTTTGAAAGGATTTTTTTCCTTACTCCACTGATTAGTAATGAGATCTATAATATTCCTATAATAAATTAAGTGACTGTAAATAGCTTATCGGTATTTTTTCAAATATCTACAAACTCTTGGATTGGATTCTCTGGTAGCTTAGAAGGTAAGGAATCTGCCTGCAATGGGGGAGACCCAGGTTCGATCCCTGGGTCGGGAAGATGCCCTGGAGAAGGAAATGGCAACCCACTCCAGCATTCTTGCCTGGAAAATCTCATGAATGGAGGAGCCTGGTGGGCTACACAATCCATGGGGTCGCAAAGAGTCAGACAGAACTGAGTGACTTTACTACAAACACTTAAGCCCATGGCACACCATGCTAAAAAGAAAAAAAATTCCTGATAAGAGTAAAACTACACAGAGTGTTCCATTCTAAAGAATGCAGAAGAGCATTTAAAGGTTTTAAGATGTAATGCAGGAATTAAGCCTATCAGACTATGTTTAAACCATAGCTTAAAGAAAGTGCATGACCACAGTTAATTCAAGAGATGACAGGCTCTTTAAATATATTGTGGGATGGCAATGGCACTGTACTGAGTTTGGAGACTCAAAATGCCCAGATATACAATCATCTTTCCAGACTTTATCAATTAACTTAATAGATAGCTTGCTTCCTTTTCATTAAAAAAGATGTACTCTCAAATAGTTCAGGTTGTAATGTCCAGGTTTATTCCACTCTGTCAACTCCCCTGGGGATATTTGATCTCTGTTTTGCTAACTGCTCCCAACTTACCTCTGTGTCATTCAGAGCTAGAAAATACACAACGATGGGAGGAAATGTTTCTTTCTAAAATGATTGTTTCTCTGGTCACTTCTTTACCTTACATTGTCTCAGCACAATTTGACTTCATAAACTGAACAATGTTTTATATCCTTTATGTTTCTTGACATAGTCTTTCATACACTATTTTAACCTCCTATATTTTCTACTTACTAAATATCACTATTTTTAACTCTATGATTTTACACTATCACACATTTTTGCAGTGCCTTCTACAATGTACTCCAAAATGTAAAAATGAAATTCGTTATGTTGGTTGCATGCATGCATGCTAAGATGCTTCAGTGGTATCCAACTCTGCGCAACCTGATGGACTGTAGCCCGCCAGACTCCTCTGTCCATGGGATTTCCCAGGCAAGAATACTGGAGTGGGTTTTCATGTCCTCCTCCAGGGGATCTTCCTGACACAAGGATCGATGGAACCCATCTCTTATGCCTCCTACTTGGTAGGTGGGTCCTTTACCACCAGCGCTACCTGGGAAGCCCCATTATGCTAGTTATCTGATTCATTTAAAATATATATAGTGTATGTATATGGTCATTGCTGAGTCACTAACTCATGTCTGACTGCATCTGCAACCCCATGGACTGTAGCCCACCAAGCTCCTCTGTCCATGGGATTTTCCAGGCAAGAATACTGGAGTGGGTTGCCATTTCCTTCTCCAGGGGAATCCTCCTGACCCAGGGATTGAATTCAGGTCTCCTGGAAGATTCTTTATCACTGACCCATCAGGGAATATATATATATAATTGAATTACAAATTAATAATTGATATTATTCATACTTTTGTACATGGATAGGGTATTAGACAATACCCTATTTGTAAATATTTGTGAATGGATAGGGTATTAGAAAAACTGGTCTACTTGTTCAACAGTTATCAGATGAAAGAATAATTTTTAAAACTTTTGGGACTTCTAAAATATTATATCATATCTGCAGCATTTTATTTCAGAGTAAGTTGTAATTTGTTCTTCCTTAGGAAATATCCCTTTTTAACATTTTGAAACATAAGGCAAGTTACATATTTATACTTTTCTAAAGACAGTAGGAGATGACCCAGATCCTCAGTTATACTCTCAGTCTCAAAATTCTATGGTTATATTAGTAATAAATTACATAAACTGCTGAATGGTCACAAAAATAGGCAAAAGTGTAGTAAGTATCAGAGATTTAGGTCAATTTAGAAATGAAATTCAGGAACAAATAATAAGTTCTAGTTGTAAAATCATGATTAAAATGTAGAAAACAGTGGATATCACAATGAATATATGTTAGTGGTGGATTAGTGGTACATTCAAGGTAACCATGATGAACACTGGTGATAGAATCTGGATAACCAGCAAAATAGTGAGATGCATGTAAGAAGGTAATAAACTTTGAAATTTTTTTTCCCCAATTTTCAGGCCCAACAAGAAATTCTCATGGTTAATCTTATTTGTTGAAGAGGTAGAGGAAAAGGATTATGTAATTCTAACTTTGAGACAAAATGGATCAATGTCTTGTGGAGGAATAAACCCATAACCTGTAATGGCTTCTTCCCAATGTTTTCATCTTTATGGACAGAAATCTTTTTATCCAGATTTACTGAAATATAATTCATATATAACATTATATAAGTTTAAAGTGTAGAACATAATGATTTATGTATATAGTGTCAAATGGTTACTAAATAAAGTTAGTTAATATATCTATCACCTCACATAGTTACAATTTTGTTGTTGTTGTTGTTGTTGGTAAAAGCTTTAAAATCTCTTCTCTTAGCAACTTCAATGGCAACCCACTCCAGTATTCTTGCCTGGAAAATCCCCTGGATGGAGGAGCCTGATGAGCTACAATCCATGCAGTCGCAAAGAGTAAGACACGACTAAGCAAGTTCACTTTCTTTTTCTTCCTTTCTTAGCAACTTACATAGTACAAATAAATATATAGTACATTATTTTTTACTACAGCCAGCCAGAAACTATTCTGGTTTGGACAGAGATGGGGAATGGAAAGTTGGAATCATAACTATGCATATGCATATTTTTTATTGGCAAAAAAAATATTTGAATTAGATTAGAACAATTTGATTGCTGGGCCACCTAAAGTAGCTATAATAAGAGACTGAGGAGGGGAAAAGAAAACCAGATATGTAAAAAATAAGCAAAAGGAGACTAAAAGTTATGATGTCATGTAATAGAAGTATTTTCTGTATTGGGCCATAATAGAAAATTATACCATATTCAGGATAATAATTCACCTATCTTTTCAAAAGCATTAACCCACTAAGTTCATTTAGGATTTCTTCGCTGTATTCTGAGGCAAACTTTTATATTATATTCCCATAATAACCCCGAGAATTAGGAAGAAAATTTACATATGAGAAAAATAAAATTTATAAAGACTAAGTAGTATGCCTAAGGACACCAACCTTTAGTTGGAAAAGACAGACCAAGGATTTAAGTATAGAATTCTCTGATTCTTTGGTCAGAATTATTGCCTTTTGGCATCACCAACACTACGGACATGAGATTGAGCAAACTGCAGGAGTTGGTGAAGGAAGCCTGGCATGCTGTAGTTCATGGGGTCACAAAAAGTTGGACACGACTGAGTGATTGAACTGATCTGAACTGATTGCCTTTAGCACAAACTGAGCTCATCAGGTCTCAGCTGATTATTTCAGTGTTCCTCAAGCATTCAGCTGTCCTATATCTCTGCTACTGGAATGAAGTCTCTGCGCTAGAACTTAAATCAATGCACTTTTTCCTTCAAGAGACTTACACACCTATACATGCACATACACACACATCTGTTTATATACTCATAGGCAATATATGTTTGTTGTATGTACATACACATAAATTTAGTTAGCTGTCCTCAGATAAGCATCTATATTTGTCTATATAATATAATGCACATATATTTACTACATATGTACGTGGTATAGATCTATATGTATTATATAATATATAGATATATATGTACAGATATATATTCAATTGAATTAAACAGCATATTTAATGGTACAGATTAGGTGTTAGTATATATGGCCTGTTGTTTGGTTGCCTGTTTTTATAAATAAAGTTTTATTGAAATACTGTCCCAACTATTCATTTCCATATTCACTATAAGGCACTGTAGTTGTGATAAGAGACAATATGGTCCATAAAGCTTCAAATATTTACTATCTGGCCCTTCAAGAAGCTCACTGGAAAAGCAAAGAGCCTCAGGATCATTTTGTCATTCAAGATGCACTCGTGCATGGTGCAGGGGTGCTGTGCTAGATTCCTCCAGGTACAACCACCCAGATCTTACCCTTCTGAACTCATTGTTTCAGTTACCAAGGGCTACTGTCTTCATAATATAAGGCGAGGGCACTGGATTTTTACCATCCTACATGCTCTAAGTATCTTCTGTAAATGTTCTCCAGTGGCAGCATAAAGTTTCTCCTATTAATATTTACTTGGATTTCAGGAAAAAGTGACTGAGAATGAGCCTGACTCTGAACAAAATTCCATTCTTCTCTCTTCAAAGCTTCTGAGGTTGGTTTGAGGGCCCAAACACAGAGGATAATTTCATTATTTTGCAATGTTCTTTTATCCTAGGGCAACTAACCAATTTCATTTCACAATTTAAAAATTATAAATAACAATGAAGTTTATGCAAATCACTCTAATAATACCAGTTCAATTAATAACTATAAGAAAACCAGTTACTATTTCTCCAGAAGAAATTTTACGAGTTGGACTGTCTCTGTGGTAGTGAATGCACTTAAAATTTTCAAAATATTATCAGCAGTTTTGCTTTTCACTGAATAGATTGTCCAGTTTGGTTGGTTCAAATAATTAGCCATTTTAAAACCTCTAAAACTTTAGCAAGTATAAAGCACATATATTTCAAATGTATCATTTTTCAAATCTATAATCAGGAAATTTTCAGTTAACTTACATGTCTCTGGGATCCATCATATTCACATCTTTCAATTTTTCCTAGGCTGCCATCTGAGAAATACAGCTTCTCTGCACGGTGATCAATGGTGAGTCCATTTGGAGTGAGTATGTCTGTACTGACCACCACTTGAGCATTCTTCCCAGTAAGAGTTGATCTCATGATACTTGGATGCTGTTCATTCCAGTTGGTCCAAAACATTAAACTAATTAAAATGAAAATTGTGATAATAGGTTAAAATTTTTACCAATAGTAACAATATTAGGAGAAACATGGCAATGTCAAACTATTTAAAATAAAGCAAAATTGTCTCACAATCTCTGACCCTTGAGGAAGTCTAGTAAAAAGGAGAGATATGTATATCATATTTGCATATTTTCCAGTTTCTTAAATGACCTGGAAACTATTTCTGGAAAATAATTATCTCTCAAATAGCAATTTAATTAAATTGAATCTGTTTGATACACAGTAAAGATTTATTTGAATCAAAGAAAAATAGTTATCTTAAATTTCCTATGAACTGCAAATATACTCTGATTTATAATTATCATGTTTTAGGAAATCCTGTGTTGTAATTTTGGATATCATTCTTAACCTAACCTAACAATATTTCTCTTCTTTGGTTGGTAAAAATAAAAAACCTCTCTCTCTTTCTAGATTTTCTTTTTCTTTTAAATATTTATTGATTGGCTGCGCTGGGTCTTCATTGCTGCACCGCCTTTTTCTCTAGCTGTGGTGAGCGGGGGCTGCTCTCTAGCTGCATTGCACAGGCTTCTTACTTTGGCGGCTTGTCCGCTTATGAACACTGGCTTTAGAGCGCCTGGGCCTCAGCAGTTCAGCACGTGGGCTCAATAGCTGTGGCTCAAGACTCTAGAGCACAGGCTCAGCAGGCATGCAGGCTTGGTTGCTTTACAGAAATCCCAGACCAGGGATCGAACCTGTGTCTCCTGCATTAGCAGGGAGATTCTTTACCATTGAACCACCAGGGTAGCCTAGGTTGTTTGTTTGTTTTTTTTTTTAATTCTGCATTCCTCTCTGCATATGTTTTAGAAAGATACAATTACTAAACTCCTGTATTTCTTTAATGTCTTTTTTCCCCCTCCTCTGTCAGTGTGATTTTTCTTTAAATTATAATGCTGCTACTAGACTTACAGGGGTTACTCTCAAATCCCTAAAGGTAAGATCTGTTACTTACAATCTTAATAGAATATTTTAAATCAGTGTTTGTCATACTATTCTCTGAGGAAGACCAAGGATTCTGTTAGCACTTAAAGGTTACTGGAAGAGTAGAGAGGCTGTAGGGTTCTAGTTTCTAAGGCCTATTTTTATTTAACCAGCTCTTCTTTCTCTCCCTTTAAGACTATCCCTAAGAGCTTATTTGAAGATCAGTTTTTGAACTGAAGGAAGGCAAGAAAGGAAGGTGTAAGGAAGAGAAGAAAGAGAGAAGAAAGAAGGAAGGAAGAGAGGAAGGAAGGAAGGGAGGGTGCGGGAAAAGCCAGGAAGAAAAGGAGGAAGGAAGAAAGGAAAATGGGAAAGAGAGAAATGTATAGGCAGGCCAATTTACATTTTTAGAAAGGATGCTTAATAAATATTTACAAAGAAAAGCTATTTGAAAATATTTCATATTTATAACAAGATAGCAAATATCATCCCTATGTATAGTCATGTAAAGACAAGGTAATAGCCAAACTAATTATTCAATATGTAGTTTTTGAGTATTATGCCAAAACTTATTATTGGACAATACACAACTTTACAAAATGAAAAAATTTTCTTCTTTCTTAGTTTTCTGAATGTTGAGTTTTTTTTTAATTTTTTATTTTTATTTTTTTGAATGTTGAGTTTTAAGCCAACTTTTCCACTCTCCTCTTTCACCTTCATCAAGAGGCTTTTTAGTTCTTCTTCACTTTCTGCCATATATGTTCATCATCTGCATATCTGAGGTTATTGATATTTTTCCCAGTAACCTTGATTCCAGCTTGTGCTTCATCCA